AGGCATTAGATGCAAGCAGCCTTGTTGGGATTAGACACTGTCCATGTTGGTCTTTCCTGGCACACCATGGCAAGGGTCAAATGTATTTCTCCACCAGTGCATTTAAAACCAACCCAGGCCTGGCACCAAGAAAGAGCTGAACCCATTTAAGGTGGCTATAAGAACACTCATCTCCCCCTGCAGAAATTCTTCCTTCCTTGGTCTCTGGGATTCTCTTCCTTGGATGCCCCCTCTTGCTTCTCCTATTGACAGATCTGGGCATTACACAGAATGTCCCACTTTGCGTTATGTAAAACTCAAGCTGGGACATTCTGTATAACAGGTTTAAAAGCAGCTTTTGACCATTTAACAACATAGGTTGAATTTGTAAATGAATAATGTTATATCTAGAACCTAATTTTTGGTGGTTGTGTTGCATATCATTTCTATTAACTAGTCCCCTACCATAGATACCTAACTGGTTTCTAGGTTTTTCCCACCATAGAAATGGTTTGATGAACATCCTTGAACATACTGTTTTGCACACATGGATTATTGCCACAGAATTAGATCTTACAATTACTAGTTTTGGTTAAGTAGCAGTTTGCTCTCTAGAAAGTTGTAGCATTTATATTCTTACTGTGAATAATTCAGAGTTCTCTTTTGCTTGCACTTTTATTAAAAATGGATATTGCCTTTAAAAAAAACTGCCAGTCTACTGAATGAAAAACTATCATCTCATTACCTTTTTTTTTTTGGTACCAAGGTACTGGGGATTGAACTCAGGGGCACTCAACCACTGAGCCACATCCTCAGCCCTTTTTATGTTTTATTTTGAGACAGGTCTCACTAAGTTGCTTACAGTCTTGCTAAGTGGCTGAGGCTGGCCTCAAACTTATAATCGTCCTGCCTCAGACTCCCAAGTCACTGGAATTACAGGCAGGTGCCACCACGCCTGGCTCATCTGGTTACTTTTTGATTTTGCTAATTGTTGAGGTTGAGGATATTTTGATGAGTGGGGACTTGTGTCTCCTCAAAACAATTTTCCACATTTGGCTCAGTTTCATTATTATCTTTACCTTATTGATTTGAACATACATATTTATGTTGAAATACCTATTAATTATTTTCTGTCATCTTAATATCTATATAAACTTTTTCTCTAATTTCTCTTTAAGAAATAACCCTCAAATTTGTGTGCTTTTGTACATTCTTGCATAAGGGTTATATTTTAAAGTTGTCAAATCTGTCAATCTTGTTGTTTAAAATTTCTGATGCTGGTGCCACCAGATTCAAWTTCTAAAGAATAGCAAAGTTGAAAACCCTTCCGGAGTGCCAGATGTTATCCAGGCAGAATCCAGATACTTTTGTCTGTGTCCTACAATACAATGTAGTGTCACCATGTTCAGCAAAAGTGACATCCCACAGTCCCTTGATGCCAACTTSTTCTAGCAAGCTGCTTCTCATGTGTCTCAGTGTCAGGGCTCTGAGTGTCATATCTGAAAAGCAAGTTAGGATTCTGAGTCAACCACTTCCAATAGTGTAAGAGGAGCTTTTCAGGTGCTGGCTTCTTCATATTCCAGTGGGATCAGGACTAGTGTGAGATTAAACCGTGGGTAGTGGATAGGTGGGCTTAACCCACAGCTGGAGTTAGTAAGTTCCTCAGTAACTAACCTCCCCACGGTTTGCTCACATTGGGACCTAGCTCTGGGATGCCCTTCTCTTCTTTTCCACCTTGAAATATTTGGACTCAGCTCTATCCCCATCACAAAGGCTCCCACAGAACTGGCAGCTTAACCATGTGTGTTACTCAAGTTGAGTGTCTTAGGTCATTATTTTAATATTCCAGAAATGTTTAATAAGCCAAGTTATAAGCTAGGAGGCCTGGCCCATTGCTTCACATTTAAATATACTAAGTATTTGTAAAAGGTACAAAAATAAAAGAATCAAAAGATGAATGAGACATAACAGTACTGGTAATAAGACTAACAAATTGCACTTAAGTTAGCCTGATTATTATGCTAAAGACATATAATTGGTTCTGTAAATGTAAGCAATATATCATGCATTATGCCATTTGATATTCCAGCAGTTAAATATTACCGTAAGTACACACCAGTATGTTCCTAATAATTCAATACACGTGATTTTTTCCAATTTTAAGGAGTATCTAGTCCCACCTTTTAACATCTCTGTATCTTATGACCAAATAGCCATTGGCCAGGTGACAGTGCCCATAAATCTGGCATTGCATCTGTATTTGTGAACGTGGTGATGACTCTTGCATTGTAAACATTTCTATTGAATTCTATGCAATTTAGTCCTACATACATCAAAGGCATATGCCCAAAAATGCCAGTGAAAACACGAGAAATTTCYACATGAGTCACATCAGGTGAAAGAACTCTAAAGCGATGAGAGGCTGAGATAGCCAGCTAATGTGCTTGAAGGACTAATGGTTAATGCATGGAGCTGCAATTTTTAAAAAATATTTATTTATGTTTTTAGTTGTAGTTGGATACAATACCTTTTTAAGTGGTGCTAGGGATCGAACCCAGGGTTTCACAGGTATTAGGTGAGTGCTCTACTGCTTAGCTACAATCCCAGCCCTGAGCTGCAATTTTTTAGGAACCTCCTCCTGGTCATGGATAGAAAGACTTTGCGGTTTTTGGAAATGCATGATTCAGTTGAATAAGAAAACTACATTTTAATCAGTTAGGAAAGTGATAGCATCAGTTTTGCGGAATAATTGTCGAAAACTGGAAGAAAATCCCAGAGACAAGCCTGAAATAGCCTTTTAAGAAATGCTGTACTATTGACAATATTGTGTGAACATGCATATATACACATTTAATTTTCCTTGATAACTTTCAAGGATCAAAGCATGAAAGGTTCAAAAATTAGTAAATGCAAACTCTYTCTTCTGCAGGTTTCCTAGTCACCCAGTTGCCCACAGCTGCCAGTGTGTCTATCTCCCTGCTCTCTCTAATGCTCTACATGGGATGGGATTCTAAAGGATTAGGCTTGATGTACAGAACTACAATCAGTTTATCTTGCTTGTCTTTTCCTTTTCTATATATGCATGCTACTAAAATATCTATCTCTATGTGTGTGTAGAAGCACTCTTTCAGTAAATATGAAGATCCTATATGACACCATATAGAGACATAGTTTAATTAGCAGGTCTTTCCCTTCTTTGTAGGACATACCAAGAAAATGTCTGAGGTTTGAGAACCTCTGACAAACTGAATGGAGGTTAAGATAGGCCTTGGGTTGAGTTTCCAAATGTCCCTTAGTGGGGGCACAGAACTTGAATTCTAATATTGTTGCTGTTTCGCTGGGCATTGTGTTGCTGCTCAGGAAGGAGGTAGGCAGACCCTGTGATTTCTTCACAAACATYAGGAACACTTGTTTATAGAACCAACATAATCTGAATAGCAGTCGTTTTCTCACATCACCATTTTAAGCATGTAACCCAAGCTGAAAAATGCATTTGCATTAAACACTCCATTTGTCATTAGTTAAGCACTTTTTAAAAATAAACTTACTATATTTTTTCCAACGTAAAACTAATACAATTTGGTTTAGAAAATCCTCTATTTAAAAAAGTGTCCATCATCATTATCCAAAGTACATGTATGAAGACACAAATTGGTGTGAAGATACTTTATATACAACCAGAGATATGAAAAATTGTGCTGTATATGTGTAATAAGAATCATAATACATTCCACTGTCATTTATTCTTAAAAAATCAACTAAAAATTAAAAAATAAAAATAAAAAAGTGTCCATGTATGAATATCTAACCAGCCACATTTCTTTCAAGAAAAATATTTGATAAATTTCTTTAAAAAAATTTTTCTCCTAAATGTCTTTTTGCCATTTCTTCTAGTATTTTAAAAAAGTCTCAGATCAAAGTAATAAGTGTTCATTGTGCAGTTTTTGGTAAGTATGGAGAAGTAGGGATTGCCTGCTAACATTTCTGGGCAGAAACAAGCAGCATAACTGCAACTCCATCAGGCTGAATGGGTGATGCTGGGAGAGAACTTGGACACAGGCCCATGAGCCTTGTTAACAGAACTGATTATACAGATCTGAGGTTTATAGCCACTTGTCTTCTCAAGTTTGCCTTGTTGTCCTCACACAGCAGGCCTTTGGCCAGGACACCACCAACTCTCTATTAATTGGGCAACCAAGCACTGTGGGTGGGTGTCCTCAATTCATTCCTCTTATTCATTCATTCACGTATTCAACAAACCTTCATGAAGCATAGACTGTGTGCCTGTAATACGCAGGGGGCAATAAATGCCACCCTTGCCCTCTCTGTGGATTATAGTGATAAGACAATCATAATCACATAAGTAAATGGATAAATTTCTCTAAATCCTAAAACAGGTGGTTGGGAAGGCAGTGGGGCAGCAGTGTCACCCAAGATCAGGAAGGCCTGCCCTTGCCATGGAGTKCCGAATCACAAGGACAAGAGGAAACAAAAGTGAAGAAGCTGAGGCTGTCAAATTTTAAGTGAATGTGGCCAAAGAAGGAAGAGAAAGAGAGCAGGGCAGGCTAGGCTGGAGGTGTAGGCTCCTGCAGGGCCTCTGAACCTATGGTAAGGATTTCAAATTTTATTCTATGTATAATTACTTTATTCTATCTGTGGATTTTGAATTTTATACTGTGTACAGACAGTTGGAAACCAACACTTCTTTGTATTTTAAATTACGTTTAATTTTCCTTGATAACTTTCAAGGATAAAAGCATAAAAGGTCCAAAAAGTAGTAAATGCAAACTCTCTCTTCTGCAGGTTTCCTCGCCACCCAGTTACCCTGCCCACAGCTGCCAGTGTGTGTCCCTCCAGAACTACTCTGGGTGCGAACAAGCAAATCAGTCTATGGTCCAAGGAATTTAAAGCAGGAAGCTAAAGAATCAGATTTGTGTTCTATGTCCATCCGAATGCCAAGAGGGGCAGGGCTCTCCCAGAGCTCTGATTTTCAAGCTGAGACTCTCATTTCACAAATCCTATTAAGCGGTCAGATCAAGATTCCGCCGTGGAGACCCTCTGGGAGCGACGCAGGGCTCGGTGAACTGCACCGCGACAGGGMCCCCGCGGGTCCTCATTCTGTGCTCCCTGGTCACGACCCGCCCTCCTGCAGGTTGCCTGCTGCAGCCGGCGCCGCCTCTGGCCACCTGCTGGTCATCCCCAGCCACCGGCTGCACCGCGCTCAGGTGCGCACATTGGCTACCCAGAGGCGGGCGGGCGCAGCGCGCGCGGGCCGGAAGACTCAGGCGGAGCCGGGTGGACACAGAGTGGGCGAGGCGGGGCGGGGCGGTCCCGGGGAGGGGCCAAACTCGGGGGCGGGACCTGCGCCGCGGCGGCAGTGAAGCTCTGGCTGCGGCCGCAGCAGCTCTCGGTCCCTGACTCGGGCCACCCACCAGGCGGTGGTCGCGGCTCGGCCCCGGTCCCGCAAGTCCCCGAAGGCAAGTCCGGGCCGCTTGGACGCTGGGAACCCTCGGCGGGAGCGGACGGCCGGATGGCGGCGGAGGGGAGCGTCCCGCGGAGAGTTTCTCGAGAAGGCTGAACTCACCCCGAGTTGCTCGTGCCTTGGCTCGATCCCGGCGATTGGTGGAGGCGCGTTCCGTGCGGGTGGTCCTTGGGCGCGGGAGGGACGCGGAGGCGACGGGATCCCTCCGCCTGGGCGGCAGCCGGATTTTCCCGGGGGCGCGCGGTGGCGGGCGCCGCTTTCGCCCGGGAAAGGGCGGTGGGCGCTGCGTCCGCGCCTCCGCGGGGTCCCCGCGCGCCAGGAGTGGCGCGCCAGCGGGACCTGCCTGCCGCCCGGAGGAAAAACTCCGCAACTTGTGTCTTCTTGGGCTGGCCCAGCCGGGGGTCGGCCCCCAGGGCTGACCGCGAGGCCCCGCCATGGACGGCGAGAGCGAGGTGGAGCTTTCCAGCAACGGCTTGACCCCTTTGTGGCGGAGGCGCTCGACCCCTCCGCCCCAGCTGCTGGCCCGCAGCAAGCCGAGGCCCCAGTCCTACCAGAGCCCCAGCGGGCTTCTGATCACAGACTTCCCGCTGGAGGAACGCATGGCGCCCCCCGTCCCGGCCGGCGGGACGGCGCCCCGCAGCCCGCTGCAGCCGTGCACCCACGGGAAGGCGCGGACGGTCTCCTCAGAGCTCAGAGCCGCCTCTCCTCGACTCCGCCGACCAGAGTCGCCCCAAGTCCCCAAATCGGCCTCGGGCGGCTACCCGAAACCCGCAACAAATGGCGTGGCTGCCTCTCCCACGCCACAGCCGCGCACGTCGAGCGCCCCCGGCCCTGGCCCAGGCCCCGAGCGGAGCCCCGCAGGCTGGAGCGCCCGCGTAGTGCCCTCGCCCACTTCCAATGGCCATGTGCCCAAGCACAACTCTCCTGGCTCCGGCTCGCAGTCCAGTCCGCCAGTTAAGGACCCCGACCGGGGGCCCTCGAAACTYTCTCCTGCGTCCCAGAAAAGGTCTTCAGAACAAAAACTCCCTCTCCAAAGGCTGCCCTCCCAGGAGAACGAGYTCCCCGAGAACCCTTCGGTGGTCTTGAGCACAAACAGCCCCGCCGCCCTCAAAGTGGGTAAGCAGCAGATCATCCCCAAAAGCTTGGCCTCAGAAATTAAACTAAGTAAATCCAACAGTCAGAACGTGGAACCGCACAAGAGGCTGCTCAAGGTGCGCAGCATGGTGGAGGGCCTCGGAGCGCCCCTGAGCCACGCGGGGGAGGAAAGCGAGGTGGAGAACGACGTGGACAGCCCGGGCTCTCTGCGGAGGGGCCTGCGGTCCACCTCCTATCGCAGGGCCGTGGTCAGTGGCTTTGACTTTGACAGCCCTTCCAACTCAAAGAAGAAGAACAGAATGTCCCAGCCTGTTTTGAAAGCAGTGATGGAAGACAGGGAGAAGTTTTCCAGCCTGGGAAGGATCAAGGTAAGAGCGGCAGAGMGTCTCTGTCATTCATCATGCCAAAAGTGAAGGTGTCGGTGGGAGGAAACCAGAGTGGTTGTGCCTTTTCGGTTCTGTTTCTGCTGTGGTAACCTGTGCACATCTTTGGCTTGCCTTTGTGCTGCTGGCAGGCACGGAATGTAGTTCCATGCAGTTTTGTGGGTAGAAGTGAAGCCCAGTCACTTTTTAAACTCTGGCAAAAATTGGGGGAAGGAAAAAAAAATTACTGCTAATTAAATATTGACCCAAAAGTTCTGAGCCCTTTTAATGCCAAAGGGGGTGGGGAGTACTACTCTTGCCTGTGGCCCAGCTATGTAGTATCCCTTTAGAGGTGACAGTCACATCCCATAATGGGAAATGCTAATTCTCTTTTGAGATAGTTGATTATTTTTCTTCTTTTACTTGTTTTGTGGATGGTGACCATATACTTGACATCAATTAAAATGTGAATTTCAAAGTCTATCACTAAAACCATGAAAGACACAGTTTGTTACCTTTTTTGATGCTCATTTTTGTCATTACTGTCTTTAATTGTGTTTAATTCCTATTTTAAGCTCATGAATCCTTGAATGCATTTAACACATGGGTAGTCCCAAACCTGAGATTTGGGTGTGTGGGATTGCTCCCTGTTGTAGGCCTGGGAATTGCAGTTAGGAACCGAGGGTCTACTGGGATGTAAAGACATAGGGAAACTAGAGAAAGATGTTTTGGAGTGTGTGCTGCCTTCCCAGAAACAAGACCCATCTCAGTAATAGGGTGGAGATTCCTTTTGACAGCCACATTTTTATATAGACTGGGTCCAGTCTATATAAATGTCACATATGTAATCATAAGCAAGCCTGTTTTCTTTTATAGTCCATGGTCTTATGGAAAAGACATCACATAGCTTTCTCTGGGTTTTGTTGTCCAACTGTGCGAGTATAGCAGGGTTCTGGTCAACAGTACAATGAATCACCAGTAGTGAAATGAGCTGAGCTGCCGGTCCTTGGAGGAGTCTCCCTCTGTTTTGACGGAGTGTGGGGGACATTATTCATTTCTTCTACTGTTTAAGTGAACTGTAGTTTTCATTTGAGTAAATTGCTCTAGGTGTCTTCTGCTGTGTGTTTTTGGAAATCTAATGATTGCCAACAAGAGAGTACTTTTACTTAAAATAGCTGTATTTTCTATTTGGCTTATTCATACATAGTTTGCTTTTTTTTTTTTTTCTTTTCTTTTCTCTTAGAAGAAAATGCTGAAAGGACAAGGAACGTTTGATGGGGAAGGTAAGTAAGCATTTAATTTTCCAGACTTTATAGCTGTTTCAATGTGGAATCTCAATTATGAGTTGAAATCCAACTGCAGGAACAAAAACACTCTAGATGAGAAAGATGGCCAGCTTTTTCCCAGACAGACATACAGGGTCGAGCTCTGCACCAGGCTTTAATTTTTATCTAGTAATAACAGTGGTGAACGAAATTAATGACATTTTTAATAAAGTGATGACTTTTTCAGTTAATGTCTTGCAATTTTTCTCTAATTTGATTCCAGTTCATCTCTCTGAAAAAAACAGAAATTAAGATCAAGCTCTGGCTTTTTAGTTAGAAATTCTGAGGTTGGCATTGACATCCTAGCCAGATTTCCTTTGGTCACATTTCCTTTGGCTCAATATTCTTTCCCCCATATTTCCACATTTTATTTTCATTTCTGACTTCCTGTTTCCTTATTAAAGTTTTCATTTGGGAACATCTAACTCTCCTGGCTATCAAAATGTATTATTAAGAATTTGTAACCCATATAGTATTTTTTTTTAAGGATTTCAGAAACAAAAGCGGCTTGAGCCAGGTGTTCAAATCCTAATCAGATTAGAGTTCTTTCTGTAAATAGGTGGGTCCGGTGTCAGCCAACTGGCAGGGCTTGAGCAGATCAGATCCAGCACGGCCCTCATGGGGCGCAAGGGTCCTGGAGATAGTGAGACCACTTATCTTCTGCCATRCCTTGAATGCTGAGTGTGCCCAGCATCTAAAACAGAGAGGAAAGCTCTGCCTGGAAGTTCGTGTATACCACCCAGAGTTGTAAGTGGATGAGCTTGGGTGATTACAGAACATTCTCCTTATATAATTTTTTCTTTTGTATGTGCGTATGTGTGTGTGTGAGGGAGATACTGGGGATTGAACCCAGGTGCACTCTAGCCTAAGCTACCTACATTTCCAGCCTTCTTTATTTTTTTATTTTGAGACAGGTCCTYACTACATTGCCCTGGCTGGCCTGGAACTTGCAAACCTCCTGCCTCAGCCTCCCCAGTCAGTGGAATTACAGGCATGTGCCACTGTGCCCAGCAGCCTGTATACTTTCTAGAAAGTTGGGTTTGACATTGTAACATTTAAAAAGGATAATTTATAAAATCTTCTCATCATACCAGTCCTATTAGAGAACAATTGCTATGTGGAAAAGAAACCCACGTATAGTGTATTAGCTAGTGAAAGTTCATTTCTCTGATTTCATAATTGAGGAAACTGGAGACTCAGAGCTTTATCAGCTTGTGCCCTGTGCCACAGCTGGTAGTAGCCAGTACTAGGTAGCCTCTTGTACCACTGCGGATATGAAGTGAGCAGGGCACCTGTCCAACACCTACCCAGGGAGGGGCTTCACATCCTCTGAAATTTGATATTGATGGTGTGATCTTTGCCTCAGCTCCACTTTTTGAGGTTTTTAAAATCAGAGGGCAGATCATCATTGTCACCGGCTTTATCCTGTTTCCTTTCACAAAGAGCTGTTTCGCTACTTCTCATATGCGCACACAAAGAATGCAGGATTCTCAACAGTTAATTAGGAGCCAGTCTGCAGATCAGGAGGTGGTGTGCTCCAGCGTGAGAACTTTTGACACTGGGTTTCTGTCCTCCTGCTTCTGCTCATCAGTTGAGTGACACTGAATGAGAACCTTATCCTCACTGAGCCCCAGTTTCATCCTGTGTGAATTGAGTGTAAGATTCCTGTTGTCATGTTGAGTGAGAAGGAATGGGACTCCTATCAACAAGGGTAGGCACAGACCCTCTGCCAGCCACTAAGTGCTTTCAAGCCTGGGGGGGGGGAAACCAGTTTTACATACCTGTTTCTCCTGTGCAGAAGAGTGAAACTAAAATCTTTCTTAGACCCCAGCTACTTAAGACAGTGCCTGGGGGCTGTCTGCAGTTGGTAGGAGAAGAGGCAGGTGTTTGCTTGACTTGGTAGAAAAGAAAGCCTTTCAAATTCCCTGGGCCCCAAGCCACACTCACAGTCATCCTCACTGAACTGGAATCTCTTCTGGTGTTCCCATCTCCTAAGGCCTAGGAACAACCTTGATGCTTCCCTCTCTGCCCCATGTCCAGGCTATCGCCCATCCATTCTTTGCCACACAGCCCAGGTCGCCATTAGCCATGACACCCCTAAAGCATCCTGGCTAGTCTCTGGGGTAGTCAGTGCTTTGCTCTGCAGTCTAAGCAGGCTTTCCTCCCAGCGGCTCGGCTCCATTGTATTCCGCACAGTGTGAAAGAAACTGGGTCCTTTTGTACTCTGGGTCAAACCCAGCTCTCTGACACTGCTGTAAAGCCCTGTGTGATTTGGACTGTTTGGACTGTTTGGCTGGTCTCTGTAAACCCTCCTTGCACAGTGTGACTCCTAGGCAAGCCGCTGACCCATCTTATTGACCCCCCTTAGTGCTTTTGAGGTGTTGTTTCCTCTTGCTTCAGAGCCTGGCCTTCCTGCTCCTCAGGCATGCAGACCTACCAAGCAGATTTACCCCAGGGCCTTTGTCCTTGCTGTTCCTCTGGTGAGATGCTCTTTCTCAGCTTGCTTTCTCTCTCTTTTATGCCTTGGATTAAATGTCACCTGTGTTAGGCCTTCCTAAACCACCTTACATAAAATCTGCATATTGTTTTCCCAGCATTTCCTACCCCCCCTTTCATGTTTTATTTTTCTGCATGACAACTACTTCAGAAATCCT